TATATATAACTCACAAAGTACAATTAAGTAATCAACTAATCCTGTCATATCCAGTGGATTCAACAGGCTGTAACTGACCTAAACAAACCGTCCACGTCTATAGCAATCCGGGCGGTCGGGTAGCCTAGTGGTTAAAGCGTTCGCTCGTCACGCCGAAGACCCGGGTTCGATTCCCGACATGGGTACAATGTGTGAAGCCAATTTCTGGTGTCCCCCGCCGTGATATTGCTGGAATATTGCTAAAAGCGGCGTAAAACAATACTCACTCACTATAGCCATCCGCTGAAAACTGAGTATCGTCATCTGCCTCAGTTGATCCGAGGACACCATATACATATTAGAGACTCTCTGATGTAACATGAAGCAGAGATACATGCATAAGAGAAAGTCTTGTGGAGAAAGTTTCTAACGTTATATATGTATGTGTGTGTTTGTTGTTTAACGTCACACTCGGAAATATCACTGATATATGACGATGGTCTGTAATAAACGAATATGGACTAGACTACTCCAGACTCAAATATTTACAGATCGCCGTCATATTGCTGGAATATTGCTGAGTGCGGCATTAAACAAAATGAGCGATGGATTGTCTGGTTCAGACTCGATTATTTACAGACCGCCGTCATATAGCTGGAATATTGCTGAGTGCGGCATTAAACAAAATGAGCGATGGATTGTCTGGTTCAGACTCGATTATTTACAGACCGCCGTCATATAGTTGGAATATTGCTGAGTGCGGTGTCAAACAACAAACAAATTATTAATGATCGGATAGTTCAGTGTATCTTGATTGTTCGTAGTCCGATGACGTGGATCACAACTGCTCGTGCGCATGCCCAGATTGAAGTTTTAATGAGGCGCGAAACAACATGCACCTACTGACCTGCCCATGCAACACGTGTTTGAACATATTCATATTTTCATTTCGTGCTTCAGACACATGAGTATAAAGAAGTATGTATTGTATAATGGCTTCAATTACTTTGGGCGTCTATCTTAAATGACATTGTTTATGGTTTCTTCGACCAAAATATTCACACATGTCGGGTTAAACTAATATTTTGTTTACATCATGTATTTCAAACCAAGTGTAAACATGGAAATTGTCTTGTTGTAAAAAAAAAACAGTCCTTAGTTGCCTCCCCCCGTGGATTTTTTTATAGAAAACATTCTTCCTTGTGAAAGTTAACTTGATACTTATGTCAAAAAAGGTAAACTACGGCCTCTTGCCGATCATATAACTTGAATTAATTTTTTTTAGATAAGTGGTTATTTTTTTCAGAAAGTTGTTTCATGTTTGAGTGGGTATGGTTTTACGCCGCTTTTAGCAATATACCAGCAATACCACGGCGAGGGACGCCATAAATAGGTTCCACACGATTCACCCATATGGGGAATCGAACCTAAGGTCATGTTTGAGAGGAATGGACCAAATGGCGTGCCGCCTGGTGAACGGTTACGATGGATAGTGACCATGTGTTTGATAGTATGGCGGTTCTATCGTTAAAGCTACGCAGTGGTAAATATAGCATTATTAGACTGAGATCATAGTCAACTCGAACCATGTCGCAAATTAGCCTTTAAGATTGGTCTCCCTTGTTTGGTACAAGGATATTATGCACGCTTCGAACCAGCGTTGGAACTGTACATTGAGGCATACGACTAATCGGAGAGTAAAATGTTTTTCTTCAACAGCACTGGTTTCCTTATTCGACAGTGTTTGGTTTACCTGGTTCCCTTGTATGACAGTGTTAGGATTATCCCGTTTTAACAGTGTTTAGCTTATCTGGTTTCCTTTTGTAATAATGTTTGGCTTATCCCCTTTAATCGACAGTGTTTGGTTTATCCCGTTGCGTTATACGGCAGTGATCCTGATCCTGATGTGACAATTTTTGGCTCATCTCGTTTCTTTATGTGACAATGTTTGGCTTATCCTGTTTCTTTATGTGACAATGTTTGGCTTATCTCGTTTCTTTATGTGACAATGTTTGGCTTATCCTGTTTCTTTATGTGACAATGTTTGGCTTATCTCGTTTCTTTATGTGACAATTTTTGGCTCATCTCGTTTCTTTATGTGACAATGTTTGGCTTATCCTGTTTCTTTATGTGACAATTTTTGGCTCATCTCGTTTCTTTATGTGACAATGTTTGGCTTATCCTGTTTCTTTATGTGGCAATGTTTGGCTTATCTCGTTTCTTCATGTGGCAATGTTTGGCTTATCCCGTTTCTTTATGTGGTAATGTTTGGCTCATCTCGTTTCTTTATGTGACAATGTTTGGCTTATCCCGTTTCTTTATGTGGTAATGTTTGGCTTATCCCGTTTCTTTAAACGAAGCGTTTGGCTTATCCTGTTTCAATGTGTAATGTTTGGCTTATCCCATTTCTTTAATCGACAGTGTTTGGCTTATCCTGTTTCTATAATCGACAGTGTTTGGCTTATCCCCTTTCTATAATCGACAGTGTTTGGCTTATCCCATTTCTTTAATCGACAGTGTTTGGCTTATCCAATTTCTTTAATCAACAGTGTTTGGCTGATCCCGTTTCTATAATTGACAGTGTTTGGCTTATCCTGTTTCTTTTTGTGGCAATGTTTGGTTTTTCCTCCCGTTTCTTTAATCAAGTGTTTGGCTTATCCTGTTTCTTTAATCAAGAGTGTTTGATTTATCCCCCTTCCTAATACCACAGGGTTTGAGTCATCTTATTTCCTTTAATGATTTGGTTAAATTGTCTTTTGTGTATGCCAGTGTATGTCCATACAATGCAGCCATGATTGTGTTTGGTCAAGCCTGTTTCTGCACTCAACTTTTTGTCAAGCCCATTTCCAAGAAAGAAAACTTGTCAAGTTGGTTGGTCATAGCATTTGGTCATACAGTCGTAGGTTGGTTGGTTGGTTGATTTGTTGTTTAACGCCTCACTCAGCAATATTCCAGCTATATGACTGCGGTCTGTAAATAATCGAGTCTGGACCAGAAAACCCAGTGATTAATATCATGAGCATCGATCCACGCAATTGGGATCGATGACATGCATGAACCAAGTCAGCAAGCCTGACCACCCGATCCCGTTAGTCACCTTTTACGGCAAGTATGGGTTGCTGAAGACCTATTCTACCCCTGATCTTTATGGGTCTACATTCGTAGGATGTGTTTCCATACATGTGAGCATTTGGTCAATCACTTTTCCCACTGACAAACTAGTCAAACATGCTCCATCTGTAGTACTCTAGTCGATCAATCATCTTTCACGTGTGGGTTTTAGTCAAGCATGTTTTATATATATGGCTCTGGTCAATCAATCACCTTTCACAGTAGTCATTAGCCTCAATCCGTAGATCAATCACATGTACTTCACAGCACGGTAATTTTGTCAAACATGCTCCATTTGTCGCGTACCGTCAGTCAAAGATGTTTCTATCTGTTGTGCATCTGCAGATAAATCCTATTTCACGGGATGGTTTTCAGTCAAGCATGTTCCATCTGTAGTGCTCTGCAGGTAAATCCTATTTCACGGGATGGTCTTCAGTCAAGCATGTTCCATCTGTAATACTCTGGTCAGAGAACCAAGTTACCACAACTACTTTCATTATCCACACAATAGGTAATGATTTTTTTTTATACAGTAACATTACTGCACAACTTTTAACAAAAATGAAAGAATATTATTTCATGCATCGCAAAACTTATGTGAACTTATTAAAATAAGAACTTCTGTTAATCCTAACTTAAAACTATAAATGTGCCAGAGCCAGTGCCATGGCAGGAGCAAAGACAATCTGTATGACAACATCTCCAAGCAAACAGTCACATTCATTCCCCACCGGAACACTGAAAAAATTCCTCTCGAAGTGAAACAGTATATACCATTTAGCATAATAGCATGTTATGTTGTTACAGTTGGCAGTGAGGTGTTACAGGCTGTTACAGGTGTTTATTACCAACCACAGCGACCCGTGAAGATCCTGGGTAGAATAGGTCTTCAGCAACCCATGCTTGCCATAAAAGGTGACTATGCTTGTCATAAGAGGCGACTAACGGGATTGAGTTGTCAGACTCTCTGAATTGGTTGATGCATGTCATCGTATCCACATTGCATGGATCGATGCTCATGATGTCAATCACTGGATTGTCTGGTCCAGACTCGATTATTTACAAACCGCTGTCATATAGCTGGAATATTGCGAGTTAATCAACAAATTAACAAAGAAAACAAAACCAACCTCAGCAAAGCAATGGAGCTGAATGCCAAGGCCATCTTGAGCTTGAACTAAGATGAAGAACACCATTTTCATGAAGTACAAACCCATGGGCATTTCTGGGTAAGAAAATAGATACCCAACAGTCTATGCTTGTCATAAGAGACGACTTAATAGATGGAGTGGCCATGCTTGGTGAATTGATTGATCAAATGTCACCTATCCATTGCATGGATTGATGATCATGATGTCAATCCTTGGGTAATTTATATGCTCACACACTCAATTTGTATATCACTCACTTGACAACAGTTCTTGAATCTATGCAGGTGCTACAATTGTAATACTAAAAGTTACATATATCCAACCATCCATGAAGATTCGGGTAAGGAAAGGTCTTCAACAACCCATGCTTACCGCAAAAGGCGTCTATGCTTGTCGTAAGGGGCGACAAATTTGGATCGGGTGGTCCAATTGCTCGGATAGATGGTCATGATGTCAATCACTGGATTGTCTGGTCCAGGCTCAATTATTTACAGACCACTGTCATATAGCTGGATTATTGCTGAGTGCGTGTTTAAACAACAAACAACATATCCAACACTCTAATGCCACTCAAAGATCAGTTTCAGAGATGGCAAATTATATATAACTAAAAACAAGTTAAAGAACGCCCACAATTGGAAGCTTGGGTACCAAAATTTACCAGCCATGACAGATTAAATATAATTACACGAAAAACTCAGGAGTCCTCTAACTTCTTTTGAGTAGTATATTTCAACAAAGAGAACAAAACTAACAGCATGATGATCTGGAACATTCTTTATTCTGTAGAATAAAGTATTGCAAGATGAACTAAAATGCTTAATCAAGATGGTTCCAGTTTTAGCCACATCCTGGACCTCAGTGTCCAAATTAGTTGAATAAATTAATACATTTATACAGAATCAATGCTAACCTTTACTGCAAACAACTCAGATTTCAGTTATCTATCAATCAGATGTCGAAGATAGCTGTCAACTAGATAACCCAAAGTCAGGTGAATATGTACCACGTTAGCATCTGTAATCTCAAGGACAATAGAAACATTGTGTAAGCTAAACTTCCATCTTCTTGCTTCACAAACAATAGAAACCTTGATCAAATTCAAATAAATATACATTTCTTACTTTTTAATTTTCAAAATCTTGTTAGATTAAATTTCTCCAATTAAGTCACTCATAAATTTCAAAGTGAATATACTTTTGGATCTTACATATTTTGAACATACATTGACTAAAGTGAAGTTCAGCGCACATAGTGTTTAAATGTCCAGTGAATTAAGAGTGTGTTTTTTGTTGTAAGTATTCTTGAATTTCTGGACCATTGTGACCCTCCTCCCCATTAGATTAACTCAGTACTAAGCTTGGTAACGTAAGGTATATTACAACAATGCATTAGTCAAACAATAGCTGCTGTTTGTGGACATAATCAGTAGTTATAATACACTAACAAACATCAACGGCACTAAATTATATACACACTTCACCGCGACCAAAACCTTCAACACAGGCAGCAGTAACCACAAACTCTTGTAATGGGAGGTAGCACCTCACAGGTTTGTTACAATCTGAAATCTTTTATACTGAGTTTTAGTTTTACACCCACCATGTTACAAAGGGAGGTAACTCATTAAGTTGATAAAGACAGACCTCTGCTGATTCACTGACTGCTCAGTAATAAACGATTAATACAAGTAAATATAATATTCTGAGAGAAACTCAAAGAGAATACAAATTCACGTTCTTACTTGTTGGTTTCATATCAATATGAAAACCTGACAATAGAGCTGCATTACATTAATAATTTATCATAATTACTTATCTAAAACCTTCCTCGAAAATCAAAATGAGTTTTTTCACACATCATAGCCTGAAGAAAAGTACGTACTGATGACATTACAAAATTCATCACCTGTTACGATGCGTGTGATCCCACAGCTTAAGAGTACATAACCACTCCTGCCTGTGATAAGTTTGGTGTCTTTCCATTCAAGTCTTATAAACCTGTGAAGGAAGGACTAACTGCATATGCAAAATGTTTATCACAATATTGAATTTCTTTTGCAAATTAAACCACTAGAAACCAAGGCACACACTTCCACTTTGCAACGAAGACGGGAAAAGCAAGGTGAGGGGCAGTGTGCAAGCAATTGAAATTTAGGTTATATTTAAAACTTATTCTAATAAAATAACCATCTAAAAATGTAGTCCAGAATTATGTCAGTGAGTTAACATCGGAATATACAAACAGTTAAAATTTAAACATTTGAAAGTATTTTCATATCATAACCATTACCAAATATTAATTCCAGTTCATTATTAAAATAGATGTTAATATCATGCTACTCTAAACTCATAGGAAAAGCTGTTCACAAGGAAACTATTATACAGATAATATTCATAAATATATCCTTTCTTTCATTCAGTTCTATTTCCACAGATACCAATATCTCAAACTACTAAACATCCTGTTTGAATTCCCAGGGACACAACTCTCCATCATCTAATATATACTGCTCAAAAGAAGTTGAGGACCACCTGATTCAGAACAGATTAACTATAAAATGAAAGAAGTAGGTGGTCCTTAACTTCTTTTGAGTAGTATACTTCATATCATTGAAGCGTGATAACATTTATAACAGGCTAAATAACAGCATGGGTTTAACCAATCATATTCACATTTGATCTCTTGTCGAAATCGAAATGTTCTTGGGAGAGAGAGAGACAGAGAGCGAGCTGTGTTTACTACGCCTTTGTTAGCAATATTCCAGTCATGATACAGCAGCTGACCCCAACATGGGCTTCACTATATGTACCCATGTGGGGAATCACACCCCAGACTTTGAAACAACAAGCATATCCATTAACCATGAGGGTGTCCCAAGCCATACCAAAGACCGGCTTCACAAAACGATCTTAGTGTTACGACTTCCATAAGTCACTGTTAATGTACGGGAGTTACGATCATCCTGGCTGGATTGGTTGGTTGGATTGTTGTTTAACGCCGAACTGAGCAATATTCCAGCTATATGATGGCGGTCTGTAAATAATCAAGTCTGGACCAGACAATCCAGTGATTAATATCATGAGCATCGATCCACGCAATTGGGATCGGTGACATGCATCAACCAAGCAAGCGAGCCTGACCACCCGATCCCGTTAGTCGCCTTTTACAACAAGCATAGTCACCTTTTACGGCAAGCATGGGTTGCTGAAGACCTATTCTACCCCGGAATCGATCCTGGCAATAAGCTCCCTTTGTGAAACAGGTCCTGGTGGCCGGACAACTGTTCAACTTTTCATCTTTCCTCGATGATGTCGGGGTTATCAACAGTTTTAAGTAACTGCCATGGAGTCCTATAATTGTTAGGTCTAAATGATTCCTATTATGTGGTTTGATGTTGGTCAGGACAGGACTATTCCCTGGGTATTCGGGGATGTGTTCACAAAAGCAGCTTGCATGTCCTGGATCTGCTGTTATTGGCATATCATGCACAGCCAATATGGGCAAATCAGCACTAGTTATCAAGCATAGTATAAATGGTGCATTGTTATTGTTGTGTTTGGTGAAAATATGGTTATGAGGTGCTTAATTTTCATTTTAAGCACTTAAATACATCCATATTATTCATCCTTTCCTTCCCTTGAGATATATGAAACCTGCAGAAACTAGCTTGTGTCTACTGTGATCACTATGTGCCCATCAGCATCAGAAACAAACAAAACGGCCTGGAGCTGTTAGCCCTATACCCTGATGATGCAATTCTCTCTCTTCCTGTTTAACACGAAATAATTACACGAAATAATTACCATCAGTTCCCTGAAGAGAGAAATAACTGACTAGGTTTGTTTCATAATCTCAAATCTAAAGTGAGAGGGTATGGTTTTATGCCAATTTCAGCAATATTCCATATATATCAGGGCAGGGGGACACCAGAAAGGGTTTCACAGATTACACCCACATGGTGAATCGACCCCATGAGTTTTGGCATCATGAGTGAACGCTTTAAACCACAAGGCCCCCCCGACCACCCCTCTATTCCAAAGAGGGACGCAGATGCATGCTGGTCACGTTTCAAGTCTAGGTCTAGACGTGTTAAGAAATGACTTGTGTCAGACCAAATGTTTTCTGTGTAATTAGGTGAGTCATTACCTGCCAGATTGATCAACATGATATAACTAGCATTGGCAGACACCCATGTGTATTTTGAATGGCTTTGAATCTAAATTCAGACCGATGTCCAAGCCTAGTGCACACAAGAAGAGGTGGTAATTCTTTAAATGACTAGATCATTGTCTTATCCCAACACAGGGTCGATGCAGTTTCTAATGCTGATAGAAGTCCAGACCAAATTCTCATGGAAGCGCAAGCAATGTGAAAACAGGAGGAGACCGAAGGCTATGCTAGACACTTGTCACATGTTAACATCCCATTCATACACACTTTACAACTGATGATTGCCACATCGTTTTTGGACTGGTATGACCCTTGACATGGAATAGTAACTGATTAGTAGCAGAAACACAATTGTTCAGAGTAACATTCAGCCTTTGTTAAATGCAAAAATGTTTCCCTTAAACTCAAGACATCCCAATTACCATAGAATCGTTCATACATTTGTCTTTAACCAATGGTCCGAATCAAATAATTGGAAAAATGTATGTTTTTGTATAAAAATGATGATGGTTATTTCTGACCTTAATTTCAAGCAATAGGATTATGCCCAACTTTGTTACTCAACTCTGATAATAACAATAATCTTGTTGCAGCAGGGATTTATCTAGAATTCTAAACTAAATACACTTGGCAGAAAAATTGGGGGGAAATTTTTTTTGGTTCAAAATTGGGAATTTTATGAAGTCTTTAATTTCGTACATTCAGTTGTATTTTAAAAATGCAAAACTAAACATTAAACCCTTCTTGTTGATTGGTCCGGTTATCAGTGACATGCAAGTCACCTCTGTAAAACTATAACATTTCTTATTACCATAATAACATGACTTTATTATTATCTCATAATTATATATTCCAATTTGCGAAATTTTAGTGTCAATTGCTTCAAGCTTGGGGCCTAAAACGGCCTCTGAGCAGGTCTAAATAGATCTCTGTGCAGACCGGAATTTTGAAACAAAATATTACACAAAGTCGTAATCATTTTCAAATGAATATTCTATTTAATGTGCTGATGGGAAACAAACAATTGCAACCAGTTTCACAATTTTCAAAACAACCTTCATGCATATGTACATAAAATCATTCCTGCAGATTTGTCTGAACACTAATTCAAATTTGGGAGAGAAAAACAAAGATTCAGAGACATGTGATAAAAAAAATAAAATCAAAAAGATCAAATTGTAGCAACTGGGAGCCTTAAACGATTAAATGATCTAAATTGGCCACAAATTTACTTGAAACCAGCACATGCCTATTGACACAGCAAGTCAACACTGATCATGGGAAAACATAATTACACAGTAAGCAAGGAAATATACAAGCAACCAGTCACTCAAAGTGCTGGCAGAAATCTACAACAATTCAATGCCTTTACATTCTCACAAATAGAACCTTAGTTTTTGCATTATTTATTCCTTCAGTGCAACAATGAATCGTGTCCTGTACCTGCCCACACCCTGGAGATGGCCTAGCATCCTGCCCTCATCCTGGTAACGAGGCTACCTTGGGTCTTTCCGCCAACTGCCTATACTATTTGTACAGTCGATCTCCAGGCAACGAAACAGACCGGATTGTCTCCCCTTGAAAACTGAATACAGGTTATCTCCCTTGAAACTGAATAGGGTTTGTTAAAAGTTTCTTGTTTTTGTCTGATAAGATTAGAGGATAAATTTGCCAATAATGAAGCCTAGTATTACAGCTGCAATGATGTATACGACTGGGGGGAGAGCCATGGCTGGGTTGGCCTGTGTTGACATCGACGAGGACGAGGATGTGGGCGTGGAGGATACAGTGTCTTTTATTGCCACTTTCCGCAGACGGATGCCCTCATCCTGTAAGAAAATAACACATGAATGACAAGACTTTAATTCACATTAGATTCTAAGAAAAGAAACTATTTCCATACAGATTCTGACATTTTACATGTGTGAAACTCCTTGTTGCTAAGTGGCAAATAAAGAGTCATCTGAATATTTAACCATGTAGCCAGTCAAACACTTGAACCTATTGAATGCATAAATGTTTTAGGGCAACATGCAAGATTGCATTTGGCAGAATTATTTTTTTCAAGCCTGGAACATACAATCCAGTGACAAACATCAGCATCAAACTACGTAATTGGGTTACGATGACATCAACCAAGTCAGTAAGCCTGACCACCCGATCCCGCTAGTTGCCGCTTACAATGAGGATGGATTCCTGAAGACCGATTCTAACCCAGACCTTCACAGGGGAAGTGAGTGAGTGAGTGAGTTTGGTTTAACGCCGCTTTTTTACCACTTCAGTGAAACCCACGAGCATGGGTATGGTGCTGACAAACCTAGAAACATAATCGGGGCAAGCGGGATTCGAACGCACAATCATAGGTTTCTGGCGTGCCCAAGAGACGCAACCCTGCACAGCGATTCGCGGCACCTTAGACAACTGGGCCACCCATGCCCCTCACAGGGGAAGTGAACCAGTGAGCTTATCAACTGACACCAATCTACTGACAATGACACACCGTGGAAGTGAGAGTTGATTCCACTGGCAGCCGCTAATCAATACTTGATGGCCACTGATGGCATTTGGTGTTAATAATAAAGAAGAAGAAGAAGAAGGTTTTTGGAAGAGAAGAAGAAGAAGAAGGTTTTTGGAAGAGCACTTACTTTTAGCTTGCTGTTCTCGTCCCTTAGTTGTCCGATCTCATTCTGCATCTTGTAACACTCCTCCATTGCCTTCTTCAGCTCCGGGTCTGTGCTACTGCTTACCTGTAACAGACACAATACATCGTTACACAAACAGCGCATACATCCTGGGCAGGCATTTGCCCATACCCAACCTGCTATTCAGAACTTGGTTTGTTTGTTTGTTGTTTTACACCAGTATGGACCAGACAGACCAGTGATTGATATAATGAGGAATGTCCAATCATCCAATTCCCAAACTATTTATTTCACATGATTGTATGGAATTAATTGTACAAAATTATTTCTGCAAATCAGGATAAATTTATAAAATGTTCCTATCAATGACCATAACCACAGCTTTTTCTCTGACTAGAAGCATCTGGCACCCCCCATTTTTTATAAATGTCAAAAGCAGTAGTCAGTAAAATTAGCATTATTAGGGGACTTTAGTCATTATATTTTGGGCCTAGGAAAATGTGAAATGGTTCAGCATCAAATTTAGTCCTTAAAAGGTTTAATCAAAAATGCGATATCATCTCAAGGACGAGTAGACATTTGCCATTTTTAAGGGTTTTGCTATATGTTATCATTATGATGACTAGTGGACTAAAAGGTTAGTTTCTACTGCTGTATACCCCCATCAAGACCCTATTTTCAAGCACATGGAATTCTTACCGCTGGCTTAACAGCTTGTGTCTCCAAGGGACGTACAATCTTAGGCTTCTCCTCCACGTCCGCCACACTTGACTGTAACATGAAAATAACAGCTCCGATTAGAGAACTGACTGAGTTATACAACGTTTCTACAAAACATAAGCCACCAAATTTAAGGCGATAATAACAGTAACACTGTTCTAGTTTTTAAAAAGCAGTGTAGTTTCAAACAGAATTATCAAAGTATTCACAAATTATTTCCATTTGAACATTTAAATACTCGATCGAAATATAAGTACACACACTAGTGTGTCAATAATAATTATCAATTAACAGACTGATCATTACCTACACAATCTCATTAAAATCAGATCTTAATTCTCGGTACCGCTAAACCAAGATCTGAGGACATCCCATTAAGGGTCACGTCAGACCGACCAATGGAATGACCAATCAGAAGGCAGCTTTCTCGTGCTTTACGGCACTAATTTCAAATTGGCAACTACACTTTGAAACATATTTTGACAAATTCTTGATTACAAATTTAAAACCTGAACAAAAGAACATTCTGGAATGGCTGATAGATGGTCTAGATTGTAAGGATTCAGTCGTTAAACCCGTAACTATCGTTCGGAATACGCCGTGTTAAAGTTTTCGAGGATGCATGATTAGAAATCACATTCCAACTGTCACTTTCATAATCTGGTAAGCGACGCTCTGATTGGTCGGATGAAAGGTCGGTCTGATGTGACCCCTATTTGGATGTCTTCAGATCTTTGTTTAGCGGTAGTGAGAACAAAGGTCTGATTTTAATGATATTGTTTCCTACATGGCATCATGCATTGGTAGAGGAAAGAAATAAAGGTAATTGTCCCTCTGCATTTAATGCATAAGACGACCAACCCCCTATGGTTTCTGTCCATTATTTAGATCTTACTTTTAAAACGAGGGGTATATCTAATCATACCATACAGTTAGTTATTGAAATAAAGAAAATAACTAACAAAGTGATCTCTGCAATCATCAGCATGATCAGTGGGTTAAAACACATGATACAAAAAGTTGTTGATGAGTTACTTTCCATGTTGTGTACGTCTGTTGTTTAACATTACACTCTAAATTCCAGCTTTATGATAGCAGCCTGTAAATAATTCAGTCTGGACTAGACAATCCAGTGATTGATATTATGAGCTACTATCCACACCATCTGGAAATGATGACAACTAAATCACCGAGCCTGACCGCCTGACCGCCCAACCCATTAAGCCCCCTCTAATGACCAGGCTGGTTGCTGGGACTCGTCCAACCCGGAATCCCAACTGGCATTCGCCTATTTAAGTACTGACCTATTTTTTTTATATTGCTGCAGTTAGTTAAAGACAATTGCAGAAAATTATATGGACTATTAGAACAAGTAGCTGAAGTCGCAGACTGGAAATGGCAGGACAGAAAAAAGACTTTCAAACATATTATTCTTGTTCTGATACATTGTGGGTCAGTGGATCTGAAAACAAGTAATCAAAACCAAAACGGCCTTCAGATAACATATACTGTGTGGTACTGTGTGGTACTGACCTGCTGTGCTGACTCGGGCATATCGAACACACACTTCAGCTTCGAGTCCATCAAGTTCTCTGGTGTCACGTCCTTCCACTGGAACAAAAACATACATGGCAATTAACATCAATGATCTCTGTCTCTACACATTCATATACATCCCAAGCATAGGCATATGACTCAGAGTCTGTAGGTTCACCACTGCTGTTGGAAACTGTTCAGGCAGCGTGAGAAAACACAAACAAGAATGCTACCAATTGAGTCTGCCAGCCAAAAAGATAATATACATACCATCTCATACAACTAGCAACATGTGAGGAAAAGACACCATGTTTCCATTATCAATAGGACATAATTTATGTCAAAACTGGTTGCATTTTCACACAAGTATCAAACAAGGGAAAAAGGCTTCCCAAATTGTACTTAAGACAACAAGCACTCAAGGGACTTAAAAATATCCCTTCCGGACATTTGTTCTAGGTGATTGTTTCAGTGTTTGTGATTAATAAGGCTGTTCCCACCTCTGCATGGGCGTGAATAGTTCGAGAGAGGCACTGCCTCGTCATGTGGGCCTCGTTTCTGTGTGTGGGTGGAAACACATGGTCTCCATGAGGGTGTTGTTTCCTACATGTTAACAAGCAAGCCAGACTAAACCCTGAAGTTCATAAGCTCCCCTTTCATATTGATTTCCTAAGCTAGGCTCTTCATGGGTTGGATCTGTACCAGTGGGCAAATATAAAGTTATTTCCATGATTGTTCCAGTGTCTTGTACATGTTGTATGTGGACCATAATTAAAATGAGTGAGTGAATGAATGTAGTATTTAAGTATTTAAGTCAGCAGTATTTAAGTAATATCACAGCTGACTGTAAAATAATAAAATCTGGGCAATGCATATAAGTGAGAATGAGTAACCATCCCTTCATTCAGGGCATGGTGACACAGTCAGCCATTGTGACCCCCTGATCTTCATTAGTCATCTCTAACAAGAAGCATGGGCCATGTGGACCTTTTCTGGCCCAGAATAACCAAGGTGGCAAACCAGTGGCTGATACCATGAGCCCATTGAGATACAATGACACACAGTCAGACATTGTGACCCCCTGATCTTAATCAGTCATCTCTAACAAGAAGCATGGGCACTGGGGACCTATTCTGCACCTTGCCTGGACCTTACTTCTAAGAGTGCTTTCATGCAGGAACATGAACTCTGGCACAAGCTCACCCCTGAAATGACTTGTCAATCATTTGTTCTGGAATATGAAAGATCCAGCATTTGTTTCTAATATATCATGTTGATAGGGCAGTGGATCATCATGGGCATAGCGAGTGAGATAAGTTTAAAGACTGAGCAGTAACTCATTTAAGCATTAAACATTTTTGTAACAACACTTTATGTCGTTGCATTTTGTTAAACTATGGCATGTCAACCTGACAATGCACTGACAGGTGTACAGCATATGTAAATTCTAAAAGGTGGACTCTCTGCACCCCAGAATCAACACCTGGATACCTTTCCGCCACCCTACAACACTCCCTAAATATCTGCATCAGACTACAAAATTAACGAGTTTATATGTGTCTTATGCAAATGTTCTCTCTACTGGTTGAGTCTGAAGTCCATGAATCTAAACGTGGCAATGGATTATTTGGACTTGAGTTTCATTTCCTGACTATCTGGGGGAAGCAGACATTACAGATATAATGAAAAGAGCCCAGTGCTGAAGTGAGTCTATTGTTAGCACGAGGGCGTGGCCCCACAGCTTCTGTTGCCAACTTGAAAGGTTAGCCAAACACCTTGTCTACCTTAGTGCCAGAAGTATTGACTTTGGAGGCCATTGGAGTTCTCTCCCTTTGCACTATCTGAGCCAAGGTGTCCCAAGACAGAGCGATGTTACCGACAAATTCAAGCAATTCCAGCAGCACTAAACGAATTCAATTCAAGATGATTTCAATGCTGTTTTTTTTCCTTCGAGCGTGATCTTGCACAGCCAACATCAAACATGTCAAAACTTTTAACTTTTCATTCAGAGCATTTTGCAGTTCCCGAGGGTAAGCATGTGAATTTCAGAGCTCTATCCTGAGCAGTTCATATCATCCTGGATGATGGCACCTGAATACAGCATCGTAATCCACAAAATAGCCATTCAACTCTGAACACTTCAAAATATTACAAATGACCTTCAAAGGGATGCTTTAAGCGGGAAACTGATACTTAATTCAAGTTGAAATCATTTACAGGGAGACACCATGATGAAAATCCAAATAGTCCACCATTCATTTTGGACTAAAAGAAAGGCCGAGCATTGCAGTAATCATAAAATGACTGATGATGTTTTTTTATCTTCTTCAAGTTCAACACCTTCCCACATTATCTCCATGACCTTAGAATGTAGTTGGTTGGTTGGTTGGTTGGTTGGTTGGTTTGTTGTTTAACGCCTTCATAAATATTCCAGCTATATGATGGCGGTCTGTAAATGATCAAGTTTGGACCAGACAATCCAGTGATTAATATCATGAGCATTGATCCACGCAATTGGGATCGATGACATGCATCAACCAAATCAGCGAGCCTGACCACCCAATCCCGTTAGTCGCCTTTTACGACAAGCATAGTCACCTTTTACGGCAAGCATGGGTTGCTGAAGACCTATTCTACCCCGGGACCTTAGAATGTAGAAACACGGGAGTCAGATGTAGACATGACAAGTACCTGTCCCTTTACAACATGTTCTAGTGAGTGAGTGAGTGAGTGAGTGAGTGAGTGAGTGAGTGAGTGAGTGAGTGAGTTGGGTTTAACACCGAAAAGTATTCAAGTTATATCATGGGGTGTCAACTTAAGGTGAGAAAAACTGAAGTGAAACTTTGGTGAAACCCTAAAACACAGGTCTGGCAGCTGGCAAACCTAGGAACATAATAGGGGTGAACTGGGATTCAAACCGACAATCACAGGTTTCTGGCGTGCCCAAAAAACACAACCCTGCACAGCAAACTGCTGTCCCTCAGGCTGGGCCACCCGTGCCCCACAACAAGTTCTATACAACAAGTGGTTGCTGTTTATGCTAGTCAGCAATATTCCATATCTATCATGATAGCCTGTGAGTAATCAATAGCCAAACCAATGGCTGATAGCATGTCACCAGAGGGGTCTATTCCATCCAAGTGAATGAGAGAGTATGGTTATGCAGCAATATTCCAGCAATATCACATTGGGGGAATCAAACCTGGGTCTTTGGCATGACGAGCAAATGCTTTAACAACTAGGCTACCCAACAGCCCATATTCCTTCCAGGATTATGCAGATATATATGATAACAAATTTATTGTTATAATTTGACATTGACCAGAAATGTGATCTTCTTCAAAACATCATTAGCCAAAAAGTTACTCAAATTAACCTAAAAATGACAACAATGAATTTCCTAGCAATTTCCTTCCTTTTCTCAGCTTTTTCTCTTTACAAATCACATTATACTAAATTTACTAAATCAGGATTTCCAATATAATCTGTTGATCGGTCTCGAAGGGTATACTGTGTGACATAGGCCTACCCCAGTAGATGAGGGATACATAGCCTCACACACACAACATAATCATCCCCCATTCATCAGTATGGCCAGCGAATTGCTTCAAGGCCATCTTGACAACTAACAGATGATGTCAACACACCCAGAGTGGTCGCCCTTACATTACAATCGGACAAGCTCCTTCCCAGTATGTGACATCTTCGTTACACTCTCGGTAACATTGCTGCCCTCACTGTGGGAACTGCCATTACAAGAGTTTTGAAATTTGCCCTCTAAACCCAAATGTAGTAACGTTTATACTTTTGTTTATGTCTTTGGGAATGCCATCATCGTGAATTTGTAAAAGGTTTATGACTGACAATATTTCCCAGATGAAATTACCCTTTTGGCGGTTTGATCAGGTTGGTTCGAGATGGCAGAGGAACGGAAAATCAACCAGCTTCCCCTTTACATTCTTACATTGTTACTATACCAATTACATGATAGTTGTAATGAAACAGAAATTCAAATTGACAAACAAAGAAACTAATTTAGCAGGGGTAAGAGTATTCGGCTTCATGGCAGTCATCACCTGTTTGTAAACATAACGATCAATCTACTGCAAGTTCAACTCCAAGCATGGTTGTGGTCACCTATCACAGTAGGGAGTTTCGACTGGGGGCAGTGATAGTATGGAGAGCTCCGCGAACTGGATATAACTGTGAGGAGCTTGACAATCGGATATGCTGGGCTAATTTTGCTAAACAGCATCTGATAGAAGTTCAGTTTCATTTGGCTCATTAACATACACTGGATAGGTTAACAAAGTTCAGCAAGTCTTTGAATGGCATTTATGGAATTTATGGATGTCAACTTCTTTATTATGAGGAACACAACATTTCGGAGTTTTAATACCTTTTAATACCTGATAAAGGAGTAAAAATATACTCCGAAACGTTGTGTTCCTCATAATTAAAAGGTTCCGCAAGTCCTTACGACAAATAGCTCGCACTGCATCACAAACATAGCAGATCTATTTGATAGTGGTAACAGATGCCACATACACCATAACATTTAGCTATTCAGCATATCTAGGACACAGCTAAATTTACCACAAATTCAAAGATCATGTTGATCAATACCTGCCTCTGCCGCCCATCTGTTGGTGCTAGAGTTTGTTGCCAGTTAATGACGGAAGTACTATGTGCATGATGTGAGCCATATCGGAGATGTAATCTTCCATAGTGACCCATGTGATGGTGACAGGGCACTTTAAAGACTGTAAGTAACGGTTGAACTCACCCCATATGCTACCAAGTATCAAGGCTCATCAACATGTTCCCAGCTAACTACCACCAAACCACAGCATAAAACAGAAAAAAAATTCCAACAAAATTCAAATTTTTAAACAAATTTCTGAAAATATTAAGTGACATTTTCAGGACACAATAATTCTGAACAGATTCTGCCGTTGTTTTTTTTAACTTTCTGCCAGTGATGAGTCACAGCAGGACTTGGGTACAAACTTGCACAATCTACAATAAATGCATTCACTGTGGATCCCTCATTAACCAGTGAAACTACATTCTTC